TATCTCGCCAAGCCCTTAGCCTGCCCCTTGCCCTATGGATGTGCACATACCCCTTGGTACTTGCTGAGTACAGTCTGTCTGTCTATTCTTTCTGCATTGAGTCTCTTCTGTCCTAGGTCATAGAACTCTGTGGATGAAGGATAGGGCCTTGCTGCCAAACCTGCACGGGACTTAGTAGGACTAATCTCTACTCTGGTATCTGGAGACCTGGGCATGAGCGGCGAGCGCTCGTTAAACAACTCGTCTAGCCCAATGACCGGTACGGACCGGCAGGTCTGTTCAATTTCAGTGTAGAGGGTCTGAACTCTGAGCTGCAGGCTGAAACGGAGGCCGTCGTTAAGTGTTGAGGGCCTGTTGGAACCACTCCCCTACCAGACCAAGTAAGGCTGATGATCTGTGTCTGACGACTCGACTGTCCCGGGGGATACGAACCCTCCCAATGACCGGTACAGACCGATGGGCTGCTCGGTGTGGCACAGTAGGCCGGAAAGGCTGAGTTGTGGGCTGAAAGCACAGGCAGAACCGCGTCGTCCTGTCTGGGACGTTAAAGAATTCTTGAGGAGTTACGGGGGATCTCCTTAAATGCCTCCTGATCAGCCACTGGTTCAGTAGTGACAGCCATAGTGTAGGTCTAGGCTAGAGACCATAGTTGACAGGATCCCTGTCWGGATTCTGTGAGTCTTAGATTGAGTCAGTAGGTCTGTCAGTCAGGGGTTGACGTCTACGTGGTGAGGTTTGRAACCACTAACYYGGTTGTACACTTATCACCATGGTTGAGACCCRTAGTGGGAAGGAGACTAGCCCCTACACCACTGAGCAGCAAGAAAAGATGGCCGCCTTAGTAAGAGAGAATAAGGAGAGGAAAGAGCGTGAAAAGCAAGYCAAGCTAAAGGCTATCGCAGACGAGCAGGCRGCGAAGATGAAGAGATTGGAGGAGGAGTTGAAGAGGGTACAACAGGAGGAGGAAGAAAGAAGGAAGGCTGSTGAAGCAGAAGCGGCAGCAGAAGAAGAGAAAGAGAGAATGAGAATTGAGAGTGGGGAAGGAAGTAGTGGTGGCACGATGAAGTGGAGACAGATACTGAGCTGAAGAAGAAGATCAGCGAATGGGTCGCTAATTTATCGTTGGGGGAAGACGAGGAGGCAAAGTCATATGTGACTAAGGATGAGAAGACTGCACTGACCGCTGAGTTAGCAGCCATGACGGACCCGATGGAACGAAGAGAGAGGGAAGACGAGCAAAAGTTAGCATGGAAGCTGAGAATGAAGAGGGAGAAGAAGAGGAGGAGAGAGGAAGTGAATAAGATGACCGCAGCAGTGACAAAGGTGCAGGAGTGTAGAGCGGAGGTGCTGGCCCAGCCAGATGATAAGGCCAAGTGGGACAAAGTACTGGGCTATCTAGAGGTGTTGAGCAAGGCCTGGATGGAGGAGCGCCAGGCAAGTTGGAGCCAGGATGTAGCGTTGAGTGTCATGCGGTCCGGGTTCAGGGATTTTGCGCACGAAATCGTCACCCACATTGGGGGCGAAGTCAAACAGTTGAGGGACAACGTAGGGAAGTTTTGTGAGGGCGTCATTCAGGGTGCCAAAGCTGCAGCCGCTGTAGAAGGAGAGGCCAGACCCCGTAAGGACCCAGTGAAACTTAAGTTCCCAGACGCGTACAGGGGAAAGAAGGACGAGAACTTTGACAACTGGGAGACCAGTGTCAATAGTTACATTTATTTACAGCATATCCTGATGGAGAAGCAAGTCCTCGTGGCCTTCCAGGCCCTGAAGGACGAAGCGGCTAGCTTCGCCAGGTCTCTCGCGCGTACAGCCGATTGTGAAAACAACCTGGTTGCGTATTCCAAAGTCACTCCTCTTTTCCAATTCCTCAAGCTCCTCAAGGAGCGGTTCGCTGACCCAAAACGAGGCATTAGAGCCTCTGATAAACTCCAAACGATCCACTCTCGGCAGTGGAGGAGTGCTAAGGCACTCAAGGGTACTATGGACGACTTGGTAGCCGTCCCGGACCACGGGGTCACTGAGCCCCAACTGGTCCAGTTGTTTTATCGTGCCATTCCAGAGGCCCTACGCGGGCATTTCTTTGACAAATCTCAGCAGGCCGGCATGACTTACGATGCATTGAGTAGGGAAGTCGTCCTGTATGAGTCGAACTCTATGCCAGTGACCACTTTCTGACATAAGGACTTAGAGAAAGGGAAGAACTGGAAGAATCGTACCATCTCAGGCCAAGGAACGGCCAAGGATCACATGATCCTGACATTAGAAGAAGGTGGTACCGATGAGGTCCCATATGACCAGATTGAGTGGGGCCTTGAAGATGATGGCAGTAGTGTGGGGCAGGGGAGGTCTTACGCTGCTGTCGCGGCTGGAGGGAGGCCGTAGGGAGGAGGAGGTGGCCAAGGCCAAAGGGGTCAGGCCATGGGTGGCCGAGGACGGGGCGCACAGGGGGTTGGCGGGCAGGGAAACCGCCAAGCGGGAGGTAGGGGTCAAGGTCCCCCGTCAAATCGCCAGGGTAATCGGTCCCCACAACAAAGAGGTGGAAGGACACCTCAAGGGGGTTGGCACCCAGGCTTGCCCCACAGGGCAAGCCCTGGGAAGATTTGGGCTTGGACCAGCGCGTATGGCAGGAACGCGTGGACCGGGGTCAGTGCGTATTCTGTGGTGACCCGGCCCACATTATCAAATTTTGTCCAAAGTATAGACAGGGCCGTTGGGCTGCTCAGCAGTCAAAAGACAGCCGCCAGTAGGGGTTGCAACTGCCCCTACTTCAAGGCCATGTGGAGAAGTGAGCGCGCGCGAACAGGACACTCCCAACCCACATGAGCCTATGGCAGAGGTTGAAGGCCCGTGCCTAGATAGTTGTCCAGAGACCGCCTGTGTTAGTGTCTCTTTAGGCACGTCCCTCACAGGTGTAGCAGAAGAGTTAAAGGAGAGGATGTCAGCCTGGGCCAAAATGAAAAAGGAGAGCAAGGGACAACTGATTTTGGTAGATGTAGAGGTGTTTAGAAGTAGAGTAGGGGTCCTTATAGACTCTGGGGCTACCCGCTGGGACTAAAAGTCCAGAAGTTAGTAGACCCCATAGTTAGTGTCCTCGCAGACAACCGCACGATGCGAGTTGAGGACTACGTAGAGGGAGTCCAGGCGTACTTTCGCCTAGAGAAGGATGGGAAGGTGGAGAAAGTTCTCCATTCCCTGACTCTCCTCGTACAAGATGACCTTCCTTTCGATATAGTGTTAGGAATAATGGATTGGGGAGAGGCAGCAGGGACCACACTTCATTTGAGAGAGCATGAGTGTAGGCTCCCTAGCTCGTCAGGCGAGGTTAAGACTGCCCGCTTGTTCCATGTGTCTGGTGTAGATAACACCTTGGCACATTGCTGCTTGAGTGCTCCCGCATTCGCGCGATTAGTAAAGAAGGAGCAGTTAGAAGACCAGGTCTTTGTAGTTTATGTCAGACCTGTCACTGAGGCCTCAGGAAAAGGATAGTTCCACAGATCCAACAATTGCCAAGCTGCTGGAAGAATTCAAAGACTTGACTGAGTTGCCGACAGGAGTAGTGTCGCGACCCATCCAGCACAAGATAGAGATAGAGCCTGGCAGTAGAACTCCTAAGGGTGCAGTCTACAGGATGTCCCCYAGAGAGTTAGAGGAGCTTCGCAAGCAGTTAGACGAATTCCTTGAGAAAGGTTGGATGAGGCCTAGTTCGTGTCCTTTTGGAGCACCCGTTTTGTTTGTCCCCAAGAAGGAAGGAGAGCTGAGAATGTGTATAGACTATAGGGGWTTRAATGCGATMACCGTGAAKAATGYTSAGCCGCTGCCCAGGATAGACGATCTTTTAGATCGGGTGCAGGGTTGTAAGTATTTCTCTAAGATAGACTTAAAGTCCAGATACCATCAGATAGAAGTCCATCCTGATGATCAGTACAAGATAGCATTCCGGACTAGATATGGGCACTATGAGTTTATAGTGATGCTCTTTGGACTAACCAACGCGCCAGCCACTTTTCAGCGTTGTATGAATGACCTGTTTAGACCATGGTTAGATAAGTTTGTAGTAGTCTATCTAGACGATGTCCTAGTTTTTAGTAAGACCCTCCAAGAGCATCAGGGTCATCTGAGGCAGGTCTTGGAGAAGCTTAGAGAGGCTAACTTCAAGATCAACGTGAAAAAGTGTGAGTGGGCCAAGACACAAGTTTTGTACTTGGGCCACGTATTAGACGGAGATGGCATCAAGCCAGAGGACAGCAAGATCGCGGCGATTAGAGATTGGCCAACGCCCCGCATACTGACAGAGTTGCGGTCATTCCTAGGCTTAGCTAACTACTATAGGAAATTCGTGAGGAACTTCTCTACTATCGTCGCTCCCTCGCGCCGATTGCTGAAGAAAGAGGCAATCTGGCAATGGGACAAAGACTGTACGTCTGCGCTCAAGAAGCTAAAGCGCGAGTTAATAGAATATCCTGTCCTCAAAGTTGCAGATCCGTCTTTGCCATTTATCGCCACCACGGACGCGAGTCAGTATGGGATAGGCGCCGTGTTGCAGCAAGACGACGACAATGGCTATAGACCCGTAGAGTCCATGTCAGCGAGGATGCCTTGTGAAAAGGTTGCTACGTCCACGTACGAGAGAGAACCCTACGCTCTCAGGCAGGCTTTAGATCATTGGAAGCACTACCTGCTTGGGAGGCACTTCAAAGTGTATTCGGACCACTAAACGCTTAGATGGTTAAAGTCTCAGGCCAAGATGACACCTAAGTTGACTAGGTGGGCCGCAGAGATAGACCAATTCGACTTTGAGCTCAAGCCAGTAAAGGGCAAGTACAATGTAGTGGCAGATGCTCTAAGTAGGAGATCAGACTACTTTGGAGCCGTATACGCAGGACCCTATCTATAGCGACCTCCTAAAGAGAGTTAGAGAGACCCCAGAGACCGAACCAGATTACCGCACTACAGACGGGTTGCTGCTTGAGAAGACTAATGTGTTTGACCGCCTTCCCAACAGCGAAGAGATTCGTAGTCTGATTCTAAGGGAATGTCATGATACTGAGGGACACTTCGGTTGGCAAAAGACGTTAGCCAATCTGATGCGTGCGTACACATGGTCAGGGATGAAGAACGATTGCATAAAGTATGTCCGCAGTTGTAAAGTATGCCAGCGAAACAAATCTACTACACGCGCGCTCCTATGTCTTCTCAGATCCTTGCCTATTCCGGATCAGTCGGGAGACTCGGTATCCATAGACTTCATGGACACGCAAGTCAAGAGCAGACATGGTAAAAACCAAGTCATGGTCATAGTCGACCGTTTTAGTAAGTATGCAGTTTTTGTTCCTTTACCTGCAGAGGCACGTACAGATCTAGTAATACAGAAGTTCTTTGACTTTTGGGTTAGTGAGAATGAAATCCCATTGTCAATAGTTAGTGATAGAGATAGTCGTTTCACCAGCCAGAACTGGCAAAAACTCGTGAGAGTCTAAGCATCTAAGTTGTTAATGTCATCCGGCCGTCACCCAGAGACTAACGGTCAGACAGAACAGATGAACAAGATCCTACAACAAGTTTTGCGCATGTACATTAGACCGGATCAAATTAACTGGGATGAAATGTTGCCTAAGGTAGCTAGTGCATACAACAACATCGTGCATCTATCCACCTGCCGCACTCCCAATGAGTTGCACAAGTCCTTTAGACCGCGCAGACCGTTTGAAGGACTGAACCGGGATCAGTTTTCCATATTACCGTCCGGTGTCGGGACTGGTGGGTCCCGAATAACTTCCCAGCACTCGAGAGATTGAATACGGACAATTTGTGCACAACAGAGAAATCTGGAGTGAGGAAGCAGGAGAGAGAAAAGACAAAGGATAAGGCCGCAGAAGGGAGTGATGCCATGAGAAGAGAACCACAGGAAGAAAGAACTAGCAGTGGCAAGCAAGCGAGCGCAAGAACAGGGGCACATAAAACATAGCAGGAGGCCGGGAGGGCCATCGGAATGCAATAAGACTAAGCCCAAAGGGCCCTTTGAACTAGCAATTGCAGCGCGACAGCAATAAGGGAATGAGGAAGTCGATGGATGGGCGGCCAGAAGTCGCAGGAAGCCAGGAAATGAGGGGCCAACGTAGCGGCCACCTATGGGAGCCTCAGAGCGGAGGCCCACGACCAAAGAGATCAACACGCATAAGGCGCGAGGAAAGACTAAGGAGAGGGGTTGCTATGGGGTGACAAGACGTCCAAGGGGCATGGGACACCTCGGGGAAAGGCACCCGAGGCCACGTGGGACTAAGTAAAATTAATGCCGTCCGGGGCGAAATGTGTCGGGGACCGCCGACGGGACTAAGTGTCGGGGACCACCAATGGGACAAGTAGCGGGGACATGTGAAAGTCCCAAGAAAAAACGGCGGCACCGCATGAGGGGAAAATAATAAATGCAAGGTGGACCGTCAAGATCGACATCTTGACGACCAAGAATATTAGCACCATTAGTGCAAGTACTAGTGGTGACAAACGGGAAGGCCAAAAGGAAAAGGAAAAGTAAAGAAAACTGAAGTGGGAGGCATGGGAGCAATCCGAAAAATCTCGGATCAGGCTCCCTTAAGAAAATAGAGTCAAATGAGACCCTATGTGAAATATAGCCCTCCGGGAGAAAATCGGAGTAGGAGGGACCATTGTGGGAGAGATGTAGGAGTAAAAGGAGGCTCCCATGGGCATGGGAAGACCATTATTGCAGTCCGAGAAATAACGGACCGCACTTTGGGCATTGGGAAGGCCAAAACTAAGAGGAAGAGGCTAGAAAAAGGCCTTAACGGACACTTGACACTTGACATGCTAGAAAAAAGAGAGAAAAGAAAAGAAAATGTGGGAGAATAAGACAAAAGGAGTGAGAGGGAGTGAGTGAGTTGGCCGTCAGTAGGGACTGCCATAGGTAGGGTCTGAAAGGTCCCTACCGTCCAAGAAAGGAGGAGAAAGAGAAAAGAAAAGAAAAAGAAAAGAAAAGAAAACAGAAAAAGACCTTAACGATAAAAAACGGTCACTTAGGGAGATTCATCCGTGACCAGATTCATTATGGAATATGGCGGTTACAAAGGACTTTGATTTTCTCATCCCTCCTAGAATGAGGGAGGGCAATCCGGATTGCAGACTCAATAAAATCTGAATTAAAAAGTTAAAAATGAGAGAAAATGCAAAAAGGAAGTGGCCGGTTTTCTTTTGGACCATGGATCTGAGATCAGATCTCATGGTAAAGAGGAACTAGCCGTTTTTTGTGGGCCAGCTAAAAACGGCTAGCTCCGAAATGAGGTGGCAGCCCAAAATGGAAAGAAACAAAAAAGGGAAAATGACAAAATAGTGCATTTGGCCCAAAAAGAGAGCCAGATGCACCAAAAATTGAAAAACAGAACTTAGGGGCTCAAAATTGAAGCAAGGGCTACTAGGGAGTAGCTCAGATTATTGCTGGCCTTGGATCTCAGCCAGATCCAAGGCTGAAAATGTGCCCCATATGGAAAAATGCTCCGGCCTACTCAAAAGAGACCGGAACTTGAAAAAATCGAGTGGGTCTTTTTCTTCCAAGTATTGCTTCCCCTTGGGCATTAGGACCCTAGGGGGCAGCATTTGAGCAATGAAAAAGAGGCCGAAGTAGGCTAAGAGGCAGTCCGAGTTGGTACCAACCACTTGGACTGCATGTACTTGGCCAAAAGGAGGCCCAGGTACCTCCAGAAGGGCCTAGTAAGTGAATTTTGCCTTGGGGGTACCTCGGTTCACTCCAAGGCTCATGGGGAGGCTCATGGGCTGACCGGAATGCTGGTTTCAGCCTACATAAGCTGAGGATGCAGTCCGCCACTCTCGCATTTGCATGAGGAGTGCCCATGCTGCCCAAGTGAGCTCACAGGAGCACCTTTGCACTTGGAGTGAGGAGGGAGGAGCCCATGCTAGTGGGAGAGCTTAGCGGAGACTAAGAGGTAGTGGGGAAGACTCTAGAGGATAGTGATGGTGGGAGAGACACTTGGGAGGTGATCCGCCATATCCCCCCTGGGTGTAGGAGAAAAGGAGAGGCTAGAGGAGCCTCATTAAGCCCTCCTAGAGGAAAAGACTCCATAGCCATAACTTAGGGAGCTTGCCATAGCTTGGGGAAGAGTAAGGAAGAAGGAAGAAGGGCTTGGAGAAGGAGGAAGCCATAGCCAAGGAGGAATTGAGCAAGGTCTCATCAAGATTGAAGCCTCCATCTACAAGACACTAGCAATGTGAGTGGAAGGAAGAAAATTTCTCCTCTTCTTCTTCTTCTTCTTCTTCTTCTTCTCCTCCTCCTCCTTCTTCTTCTTCCTTTTTTTCTTCCTCCCCCTCTCCCTCTTCTTTTCCCCCTTCTTCTTCACCTTCTTCTTCTTCCTCTTCTCCCTCCTTCTTCTTCTTCTTCTTCTTCTTCTTCTTTTCCTTCTTCTCTACCTCCATCTTCTCCCTCTCCATCTCCCTATCCATCTCCTCCTTCCACCTCGTCCCCTTCTTCTTCTCTTCTACCTCTTAGAGTTGGGCTACTCAATCTCTTGTTTATCATCTACATGCTAGTAGGTAGAGTTCCGATTCTTCTATGAGTATTGTCAAGTTCATTACTTGTGATGTGGGCTACTCAATCTCTTGTTTGTCATCTACATACTAG